CATATACCGTTATGAAGGTGAATATCTGACATTTTAGAGCTGGCATTAGAGCAGTATTAAATGTATAAGAGAAATACTGTGTTGGCACTCTTTAAACTTAATCTTTCAACAGAAATAATCCATGCACAAAAGAAAGAAAGAAAAATATATGTGTGGATGAAGCATACACATAATATCTTTATTTTGAATAGGAACACACAGACTTGCTCAATAAAAGAGGTCATAAGTGGCACTGGCAGTCCATGTGGTGCTCTGTGACTCCTATAGAGCCACTAAATTATCCGAGCGTTGCTTTTTATCAATTTCACTTCACTCACAGGCCTCTGTGCCACTTTACTGCTCAACCTCCCTTTCAATCATCTTTTTATATGTTGTGTGTGTGTAGCCAGGGTTTTTATATTGACATGGACTTATAAAAGCCTATATATTGCAAACTTTTGCTTGTGCGCATCTGACATACTGTTGTAAGAATTGCATTGCTCCTTATCCAAGCTGATTAACATGAGAAGAAGTATAAAAACATGTTATCATCATTACATGTAACTGATAGGAATGAACAGTAGTACAATCACAGTAGCTCCGTGAAATGTAAACTAGATTTACAGAGGGTTTTTGTTTTCATCATTTCATTTAATGGAGATACTCCAGCAGAAAGTGGTGTACATATAATGGAGATTTCATTTGTTCCATTGTGGGATTTTTTGCGGACAAAGATGAAGGAATCACCTGATCGTCTGTCAGACTGCATTACATACAGCCAATGCACTCTCTGTTCACAAGACTCCAGTTACATCTACCACTGAACTTCACACAAACTAAATCACTCTGGAAGCAATGTTGCAACAATTCCGTACGTTTAATAATGTGCCCTTCTATATGAGTAAGTGTGTTAAGAAACCTTGTGATGGAGCACTTCAGCAGTGATGCAGCTCAATGGTTGGTGTGCTGCAGAATGGACCAGACACTGTGCCTCCTCCAGACTCTGCCTCATTAAGGTCAGACTGTTGTGCTGTGTCTGAATTAGGCCCGGCCATTGTGACCCAGTAAGTAAATGAAAAGTTGGAAAGAAAAACAGGCAGGGATAAACTCCACTAAAAAACCTTTTCTCAGATGTGTCTCTCAATATCTCATATCTACTCGATATTGCGTATTTGTGTGTGCATTGATATGAACATCACACGTTTCTAAAGTAGATCTGCTCACATACGACGAACATTTAATCATGGTTACTGTAATCTATCATTGCTTTTGATACTCTTTATCATGCTCTGTGAATTAAATACTTCTGCTGCACTATTTTCTCATATAACTGAATTAAACTCTGTGAAAACTGAGAAGAGAGAGACTGGTATATGTGGCAGCAAAGCTCTGACCTAGTTAGAAACAAACATTTAGGAACCAAGATGCTGTTTACCTCTGTCTGCTCATAGCTTGTCCTGCAAGCACAAGGATGGGCTAAAGTCAGAGGTATTACATTTCACAGGTTATCTCCCCTCAGGACATATCATGCACATTTCCATGTCTGTATCAGTATGTAGTGTCTCTACTGGGACATGTCTCCATGCTTTAATGTTCAAAAAGCTCTTTATTTCTCTCATACTGCCTGTGCTGCAGCACCTCTTTTCACCCTCTGTCTGAAACCAGAGCCCAGTCTGCTCTGATTGGTTAGCTGGCCGGATCTGTTGTGATTGGTCAACAGCTCAGAGATGTCCTGCCCCTCAACTTATTAACTAACTGTTGGAGCGCTAGCCAATAGAAACGTGAGTGTTACTTTAGGTGCATCTCACTTCGGTCAAATGGATTCCTTGCGTCCCTGACTTGCGTCGTTTCCCTGCGACTAGTCCCTCCCACCAGGGAAGCATGGAGGGACGCAAGGAAACCACGAGAAGCAGGGAAATTAGTTTTAAGAGCAATGGGACGTCCTTTCCTCCGGAGCGTCACATGAAGCGACGTCCATTTGTGATGACGCTGCACAGCTGATCGTCTGACAGCAGCCAGATCAGTGCATGCGCTGCATCGTCCAATCAGTGAGCGATACACAGTAAGGGGGCGGGGCGAGTGTCTGAGGATTTCACCGGAAGATGGTCTGGTAGTTCCTCGATTATCGCTCCTCCGTTATCACTCCTCAATCCTCGGTCCTCCGGCAAAAATAAGGCCACTGGGACGCTACTCAAGATGGCGCAGACAAATCAACTTCCGGTGATACCGAGCCCGAGGAGCGAGGAAATGAAAAATAACCGAAGTGAGACGCACCCATAGTGATTTCACTATGTTACGGAAGTTAACAAAGGGGTCAAATGAGCAGAGGTGGGAGGGGAGACATTTCCTCTGGAGGGAACACAAGGATTGTAGCCTTTGCAGATCATTTACATGCACACAAACCACTGGAAACCACACACTACTGGAAAGTTAAAACCCCATACAGCATAATAGAGCCTCTTTGACATTGACCTGATGTTCATTTTAAAATAGCATGTCTGCACCAAACTGAACACAGTCTATTTGACTTGTTGGAGTCTATATTCCCACCGTTGCATCCTTTACTACACTCAAAAAAACGATTCAAGCCCTTCTTAGACTTGACACATTAATAATTGTTTCACTTTACTTAAATATTTTTATTTAAGAAATAAACCTAAGTATAGTTCATTAGTGTAACACAAATTACATTAATCAATTCACTTATTAAATGTATTTAAGACAGAGCAACTCAAAATGAATTGTTTTCATTTGGGACCGCCCCTTTGCACATCACCTTTGCGCATGCACAAGATCCGTTCTGTCATTTGCCGCCTTTTGTCTAACACTGACGGTGTGAAACTGACGGTGGAAAGTCTATTATTTGGTAAGTATTTGTTTTTTCTAGTAGTTTAGAATGTTCCCTGTTTCCAAGTAGGCCTAATGCCTTTTCATTATATCGACAAGAATATTTGAAACCACCGTGTTATATTTTGCTCCGTTTTTAGTTGGGTCTAAACAGCAAGCTAGCTAGCTTGCTAGATATGGTTAGCATTGAATACTGGATAGTAGAGATCATTAGATTATATTAAATTAGATGTCACGTTATTGTCATTGAACACAGTACACCGAAATTCAGTTTAAATTCAACCAAAAAATGCAAAGAGTAATTCAAGTGCACGAGGTAAAGCTAGCTAGCTGGATAACTGGTTTGTTAGCTAGCTTGCTAGATACGGTTAGCATTGAATACTGGATAATGGAGATCATTAGATTATATTACATTCGATTTAACGTTATTGTCATTGAACACAGTACACCGAAATTCAGTTTAAATTCAACCAAAAAATGCAAAGAGTAATTCAAGTGCACGAGGTAAAGCTAGCTAGCTGGATAACTGGTTTGTTAGCTAGCTTGCTAGATACGGTTAGCATTGAATACTGGATAATGGAGATCATTAGATTATATTACATTCGATTTAACGTTATTGTCATTGAACACAGTACACCGAAATTCAGTTTAAATTCAACCAAAAAATGCAAAGAGTAAGCGCCGCCATTTTCTATCATAAAGCTCAGCAGGTCTGTCCATCTCTCTCCTGGCCTTAGTGCAGGCAGAGGAGGACAGGCGGAGCCACTCGTTTCTGTAGGAGTTCAGTTGAGTTTAGTTTTTTACTGCCAAATATTTAATATAAATAATGAGATAATATATATATGTGAATCTTGTATGGGTTACCTCACTCACAAGCAGGCACCCAGAGTTGTGCAGAAACGTAGGCCTGCTTTATAAAACATGTCTACTAGACTCTTAATTTTAAAGTGTGATCTGTTATCATTTTTTTTTTGGGTTGTGCAATCTTAGGCAATTATGTGTTGTCTGTGAAAATTCAAATATATAAGCATTTTAATCACACCTCTAATATATTTATGTTGTCTTTTGCAGTTTGATCAGCATTAACAAGCATCTTGGGGCAACCTCTTATTTATGGTAAGTACACGGCTACTTTCACATTACTTGCATAAGCTGATCTGTGACATTGTCAGTTGTTCAGTGTCAATTGCTAATTCTCTTTTTTCTCTTTTTCAGGTTATGCATGTGGCAGTGCAAACACTGCAGTTTGGAACTAGCTAGCAGGTATTTGTTGTTAAAACATTTCCGGCAGACACATGCACATTTAAGGGGCAGTTGTCGCTATCCATGTCCATATACTGATTGCCCATGTTCGTTTGACACATGGAGTAAACTTTTAAATCACACATACAAAACTCATGCTAAACAGCTAACACCAAAGCCAGTAGAATTACCTACATTTAAGTGTCATGTGTGCTCACGTAGAGACTTAACAGAAAAAGATTTCTTCCAACATATTAATGGACATCTCAGGCATAATGAAACTGTACCATGTATGTTTCTAGGATGCACATTTAAAACTAACATTTACAGTACATTCAACACACACAAAAATAGGAAACACAGACAACATTCACTTAAAGACTTTATAGCCAATGTTGTCAGTACAAGTGGTGAGTTGGATCAGTCACACAGTTCTGCAGTTGGTCCAACGGAGTCTGTCGATATAGACCAGGAATATGAAACACTAAGTTGTGGTGATGCTTCAGAAATACACCTTCCAAATTTAATCGAAGAAAAAATTGCATGCATTTTATTGAAGTTGGAAAATATTGTTCACATTCCAAAGACAGTTATTGATGAAGTCCTTTCTGAACTTCACTACATATTAAGTACATCATCTTTGCCTGTCACTAGAGCTATTGTTTCTGATGTATTACAGAGCCATAAACTACAGGTTGAAGATTCAGTAGTTGGTGAGCTTTCCACTGCTCTATGCAATTCTAGTCCATTGGCCACAGCTATTGCAAAGGATGGCCCTCTTGCTACAGCATATAAACGTACACAGTACTATACATCTCATTTTGGTGTTTTAGAGCCGGTTGAGTACATACTAGATGCCCAGAGGAATAGGACATTTCAATATATCCCTCTGTTAAAGTCTTTGCAACATTTGCTCTCTCATAAAGGTGTCCTTGAACATATTGAAACGCAACAGCGGCTATTGGCTGTTCCCCAAGAGTACAGAACTGTAAGAGACGGTGAGTACTATAAACAGAATTCGTTTTTTTCTGATGAAGGTTTGAGAATCTCTGTAAATCTTTATGTTGATGATTTTGAGATTTGTAACCCTCTTGGGACATCTCGAAAGACACACAAACTTTGTGGTGTATATTGGGTTTTGGGTAATTTGCCACCAGGTTCCCATTCAACACTAAACTCAATCTATTTAGCTGTTCTATGCAAATCTGATGATGTTAAGACCTATGGCTATGGAAAAGTGTTGGAGCCTCTCTTGCAAGACTTAAGCATATTAGAACAGCACGGTGTATTTATATCTCAGCTTGGTCAGTTTGTTAAAGGTTCTGTCCAGTGTGTTATAGCTGACAATCTTGGAGCCCATGGGCTCGGGGGATTTGTTGAGAGTTTTTCAGCTGGGTCAGTATGCAGGTTTTGTATTGGAGTCAAATCAGATTTTCAGACTAAGGATGTCCAGTCAGGTGCTTTCCAACTGAGAACAAGAGACATCCATGATGTTCATGTCCAGTCTGCTCAGGAGAATGCAACTATTTGCTGTGGTGTAAAAAAGCAGTGTGTTTTAACAGAGCACCTTTCCCATTTTCATGTAACTACTGGTTATCCTCCTGACATTGTGCACGACCTTTTTGAAGGTGTTGTACCAGTTGAACTGGCTCGTTGTATGAGTTTGTTGATCTCCAAAAAATACTTCACTTTTGAAAGGCTCAACACATTGATTCAGACATTTCCGTACAAATGGGGGGACAGAACCAATCGCCCCCATGCCATACCACGCTCTTTCACATCTAGAAACACAATAGGTGGCAATGCGCATGAAAACTGGACCTTAATAAGACTGCTTCCCTTTGTGATTGGGCACATTTTACCAGAAGATGAACCAGCGTGGCAGCTAATTCTAGATCTTAAGGACATAGTTGAGTTGGTTGTGGCCCCTGTTCACACAGATGAGACCATTGCTTATCTTGAAGCCAAGATCTATGATCATAGGCAGCGCTATCTTGAACTCTTTCCACATGTAAAGCTCTTACCAAAACATCACTTTTTAGAGCACTATCCGCAAATGATTCGTTGCTTCGGGCCTCTAATTGTACTGTGGACAATGAGATTTGAGGCTAAACATAGCTTCTTCAAGCAGGTTGCTCGTCACACCAATTGCTTTAAGAACATACCTCGTTCACTAGCTACTAAACACCAGTTCATGCTTGCCTATCACACACATTCCTCCAGTGTCAAGAAGTCATCCTTGGAGGTCACACATGTCTCAATCCTGCCTGTTGATGTCCTTAATGAGGGAGTCGTGTCTACACTGAAACAAAGTTTCCCAGATGTGACTGAGGTTCATATGGCAAACAATGTGTCTAGCTTGGGTATACGTTACTGCGAGGGGATGATTATTGTACACGGATCTGCAGATGGACTGCCTAAATTCCATGAGATCATTAAACTTTGCATTGTTAAGGAGAAGTTGTGTTTTCTGGTAAAAGACGCATGTGCTTGGTACAGAGAGCATTATGGTGCTTTTGAGCTGTCTGCCTCGCCCAATACAGAGGTTGCCGTTATTGAGCTTGCTGACTTGGTAGACCCCTATCCCCTTGTTGACTACATGGTTGGGAGTTTGCGCATGGTAATGTTGAAAAGATTCATCATTGTTAAAGGTGAGTATCATTTTTAAACCTAAATAGTCTGAGCTCTGGATAGCAGGCTCTGACAAAAACTGTAAAACCATTTTTATGTTCATCTTTGATATAATCCTAATGTGTTTCTTTCACCTTGTTTCTGCTCTAGATTAAAAGGTGTTCCATAATGGCAGGTCGGGCGCTTCTGCGCATCATCTTTGCCGACCAGTCTGACTCTAGAAACTGACCCTGGATTCGGGAATCCCAGCAACAGTTGAAGAACTGCACACATTTGTCAAGACATCTCTTCAATTGAAAGAGGACTTCCGTCTGCAATACATGGATGTTGACTTTAACGAGTTCATGAATCTTACATCAGTGTCTGAAATTCAGGATAAAAGCACACTGAAAGTAATTTACTCTCCTATATTGTCAAATATTGAGCCCTCCATCACTTTGTACACAGTTGACTCATTTGATAAGACCTCAATTACTGGAAGCTCAGAGCCTCTAATCCCTGAATCATCAATAGCCTCATGCTGCAGTGATGATATGGTGTATACGTCAACCCCGCATCCATCCCCTGAAGCTCAGGCCTCACAATTGTTATCCTGGCCCACAGTTTTTGTGGTTCCTAAGCTCACCTACGAGGCTGAATTTGAGCTTCATCTAAAGAATGCAGAGTTTGAGACAACTGGTACATACTTCCAGCCTGGCCTAAAGCTGAAAGGAGTCATTCTTGATGGCCTAGCCCAAGAAATGATCAAATTCACAAAATATCCGAAAGACTATCAGTGTGAAGAGGTAGCTGCAGCGTTGACGAGGGCCCACCCTTGTTTGGGGCAGCTAGGATCCAAGACAGGATTTGGGGGGTGGAAACAGTCTCTTAAGTACAAAATGCAAAACTATCGTACAAAGCTTGGCCGTCTTGGACATCCTGAAATCCTTGTGAACTCCTTAAAGCACAAGAAAACAGGCCAAGGCAAAGCTGCAGCAAACATAAAAAAACCAAGAAAAGCTGAAGTAAACTACATTCCTCTGCACCCAAAAGGCGAAACCACAGAAAGCTTGGAGAACGAGAGAATTGCCTTATTGTCAGAACTGAAAAAGCGTGACAATGAAGTGGTGATAAAAGCAAAAATGGAAAAAACCTTCTCCCACAGACGCCTTGAGATTGTGGAGCAAAGGCCTTTGATAGGGGACTTCAAATGCAGATGGCCTGCTCTGTTTCAGCAGAGTGAAGTAAGTACATATTTGTATTTGTTGACAGTCTTTTATTATTGTCTTTTGTGATTCATGTCTACATCCTTGCATGGTTGTGATTCTAATAAACAAGTAACAATTGGTTGTATTGTGCTTGTTAATAATATTTTTAAGGTGAATGCGGAGTTTTTGAGGATCACAACATCACCACTTCAATCAAAGTTCATGTGGCAGCTGGACCACTTCTCAGACAAGCTCTTGAAGATCTTCAAGACCAAAGGAGGAGTGAAGGGGCACAAAATCAAGGAAGCCCTTGCAATATCAGATTCGGTTAGTATAAATGCAGAGAACCTCGTTTTTCACTGTATTGTTTTTGTCCATGATCATATGAACACATTTAAGAAATTGTCTGCTTTTATAGTGTTTTTAAGGCAATAGCTTATTGTGGAAATGTAGGTGTAAGGAGTCCTGCTTAGGGACACACACGACAGATACAGCCCTCTACGTTGTAAACTACCTGCTCTGTTGCACATGCATTGTGCTTAATTGTCTTTGATTTATCGCCCCTGCTTTAGTTTGAAAACATCCACATCAAGAGGGGGTGCATCCTGCGAAGCATCGCGATCTACCTCAACGAGGATCCAGACTCTTTTTTTAAGGAGTATCAGGTATGTTTATCACAATATGTTTTCAATGTATTGGTTAACAGTGTTACCCACAATTATAACCACCATTACTTACATTTATAATAAGAAAATTATATGGCACACACAACCCTATCCCTGCTTACATCTAAATATCTTATCACATATCATAAATACATGCAGAAATAAATAAATCTATACATTAATATAGGAATGAATATATGTAAGAATGAATAAATACAGAAATAAAAAAATAATAATAAATAGATACAGAAGTAATTTCATCGGGCAAGTGTTAAAATAAATATAGAAAAAAGTGAATTAATACATTTATACAGATATAAATACATCTATAAATTAACATAGGAATACAATTGATAAATACAAATGTGAATTAAAACATGAATATATCTGGAAATAAATACAAATAATAAATGAATGCTGAAATAAATATTTACATTTATATATAAATACATCTATAAATGAATAAATAAATATGGACATGAATACATATGTAAGAACTTATAAATAATTGAATAAATACATAAATAAAATAATAAATAAATGCTGAAATATATTAATCAATAGATTCATGTTTAAAAAGGTATGTGAATGCAGCAATTACTAAATTGTTAAAGGAATAATTACATAATCACATAACAAGGAAATAAATTATTAAAGAATAAATAATCAAATACATATCGAAATAAGTAGGTAAATGCATAATTAACTACAGGAATAACAACAAATTACATTATTAAGTAGGGATGTAAACAAATAATACCTGAATTAATAAATAAGATAACGTTGATAATCAAACAGAACATACAGGAATATATCTTTATAACTTATTTATGCAAACATTTTCTTACAAGCTTAATTTAGTTCTGTGTTGGAGGTCCTAACCTTCTCTGGTATCACTCGGACATTTTTGTCCAAATTGGTAATTTTTCACATCAGATTTGGCTATAATGATTTTGTGTTTTTTCTAGATACTTTTTGGAATTTCAATTTTTCTAATCGGTCTCGAATACACTGTGTACAAATTACCCTAATTGTCCATTTAAAAAATGTTCCCACACTTCCCAAAAAGTGTGGGGGAAAAATATTTAAATATAATATTTGTATCATATCATTTTATCATTCAAGTTTTTGAAAGTGGACATTTTTATCCTGAGTGGCCAAATAGGGTAGTACATTTGAGTGATACCAGAGGGTTAGTCTAAAACTGTTTTGATCAATGAGGAGAGCCACATAAGTAAATCTGCTTCTATAAAATGTAGTAATTCAGGTTTTAGTTAACACATATGTTGTATGTTTGTGTCTTTGTTCAGGCCTCTGCCTCTGAAGATGCCAAGAGGGACATGGCAAACACAGTCATGGGCATATACACACTTCAAAGAGATGTGGATGGGCAGCCAGAGGACGTGGGAATTGTCATCGAAGGCAATATAGTCATGGACAACTTGGGCAGCATGATTGTGGGGTTTGTCATGCTATTGGGACTTATTTATGCCCTGGATTTGAGCTTTCCAGACAACCTCAAACACACCTTCGAGTTCATGCAGAAGGTAGTGATGAATCTGGATGGGCACAAGCTGAATGGTAAAATCGAAAGTCTGAAGATCAAGTTGTTCGATTGAAATGTGAAAAAGAAGTGACTCATGAGTTCATTGTTGTCATTTTATTCACGAGTTTCCTAGTCAGAGCAGATTGAGCCGTTATATCAATCATTTGTTCTGTGCTTTTCTGTATTTGTTTCAACACACTGTAACACTATTTCCATATGTTGGTGTTTGCAGTGCACTCTTTATGTTATGTGTTATTGTCCTGTTAGAAGAGCAGTGCATACCCCTGTTATATTGTATTCATTGTATTTGGCAAAGGGAGATTTGTAAGTTAATTATAGGAGTTCCATTTCTCTGCCATTTTAAAAATGGTATTATCTTTCAGAAATGTTTTTCATCTTTCAGTGTGAATTCATTCATTTTAAAAAGACTGTATTGAATGGAGGATTGTTTTGAATAATGTGAATTTAAAAATAAAAAAAACTAAACCATGTTTTCTATCATGTGTAACACATTTTTATTAAATTATATTTAACCTCATTATTTCATTTTCAATTAATTAAATAGGATTTAGGTGGACTAGCATTATTTAAATTCATAAAGGTAATGTTATCATTTTACTTAAACTCTATTTGAAAAATTTGAGTTGGACTAACTCATTTACATTATACTGCATGGATGCCATTAGTTTGAGTTTGTGCCACATATATTTATTGGATGGAAAACCTGCCAACAATAAAATTGAGTTAATCCAATGAGTTATTTCTTTGAGTGTAATGGCTGTCATTGTGCTGCATCACATGCTCACTATATGGAGAATGGTTACTATAGGGACAGTCAGTGAGGTGAAGGAGAGATGAGACAGCACTAGACAGTATGCCTTTAAAAACCTGTGAGTATTCTCTGAGTGCTGTCATTGTTGGCTGGATTATGTCTGGGTCAGACGTTCAGCAAATAGCCTCCTGCTCTCAGAATGCACTCTCGTCCTCAAACACAGTGTGTTTTTTTAAAGAAACATTCACTGACCAGCATGTCATTGTCATTGTCACCTAATGACAAGTGTGTTTATATTCATCATTTCACTGCAGAGGTAGGCTGCATTATGATTTCTTTCAAATGTCTAATAATCAGTAGGCTTTGACATTTGCATATTAAGCCTACAATGTTCATATATAATTTGAGGTCAGCAATTTTCATCTAGACTACAAAACATGTAGCTAACAACGTCTAGACAAAATAATATATGAAATACTTGAAGTATTTTTATTGCATTCTCTGCTGGTTTTGTGAGCTAATGTGTTAGCCACAGCTAGTCTGAGCTAGCTCCATTCTGGGGACAAAATACATATTTAAGCGGGAAATAAACTCACCAAAGAACGATGTATTTTGCAGTCAGTGTAAGGTTAACCATCCCCATCATTTCAGAGCAGTTGCACTAGATTGCACCTGACATTGCTTTCTCTGTAAGAACAAGTCATTAATCTATAATCCACAACAAGCCACGCTGAGATTGAATTACAATCAGCCTTTTGGTCAGTGCAAAAGCTGCTACAGTTAAGTGGGATGTTTTCCTCCAGGAGGAGACAGGTGGCCAGCCTTAAGCTACTCAGCTACTTTCCATGATTTGGTCTTTTTTAAACTAACAATGTGCCTGTGACCTTTTGTTTCTAATGGGTGTAAACTGAGATCTCAGTAGTTGTAACCTCTTCCACATCCTATTGTATGGTCATTCGGTTTACACATGCACGTGTGTGTTTGTGTCCTGGAGAAAAGAGGCTAAGGGTGATGTCATGTTTGGTGACATCATTGCAGACGT